AAGCTTACCTGAGGGCGCAGGAATCTGTGTAAGACTACAGCAGAACATGCTAGTCTACAACAATATCAAGCACTGGCCTAACAACAACACAAGTTAACCAATCACAAAAACAGATTTATACGAGACTGAAAGAAGAGAAAGTAATTAGGAAGAATTTTTTTTTAACTACCTGTGAGCTCGAAAGGGATGGTGAAGAGCACACATAGAAGGTATTAGATAAAACAAAAATAACAGTTGATTTCTAGGTCGAGAGTTGTGATGTTAGTAAAGGTGGTTTAGAAAAGAGAAAGATAGTAGTGAAAAAAGCTAATAGAGAAACAACTCACTGATTCTTTTTGACAAGAAAAGAATCAGAAAAGAGGGGAAAGCAAAACACAAAGAGAACAGATAACCTGTAAGAAATTTTCCATCATCTCTTGATTCCAACTTCCCAGTTTGTCAACTAGCTCAACTGAAATAAAACCTCAATCTAACCCCTTTGGTCAACTTCTTACACTAATGTAACACAACACAACACGCCTTACTTGTACAACTTCTAAATCTCCTTCTGACAACCTCAATTCGGAGAATGATCTTTGACTAACAATAAAGATAGTTAACCCGTAAGAGGTCAGTAGCTCAAAACACCCCCTCAAAGAGCATTAACCCAGAAAACGTAGACCCAGTTTCTTCCTAATATTTGAGAACTGCTCCTTAGGTAGCTGTTTAGTTAATAAATCTGCAACCATTAAGTGAGTTGGACAATGCTTAATAGAGAGATCACCCTATTTTCCAACTTCTCTTATCCAATGATAATGGATTTCAATGTGCTTAGTTCTAGCATGAAAAATAGATTTTGATGTAAGATGGACTGCACCTAAATTATCACTCTGAAGAACTGTTGGATTAGGAACCGTAAAACCAAAACATGACATCATGTTCCTTAGCTAAATCAACTCTTGTCCAGCTTTGGTCATTGCCCAATACTCAGCCTCAGTTGAAGATAAAGCAACTCTAGGCTGAAATCGACTGCGCCAAGAAATTGGTCCACCCGCTAAGACAAAAACATAGCCTGTAGTCAAACGGCAAGTGTTCACGTCACCAGCCTAATCTGTGTTGCAGTGTGAAATGGGACATTCAAAACTGAGTTGTCCAGAAATGACGCTTGGAGAATCACCAGACTACACAATGCCAACATTAATAGTGTGACAAAGATACCTGAGAACGTGCATCACGGAATCCCAGTGAAGTTTATTAGGGTTTTCAAGATGCTGAGATAGAACTCCCACCACGTGAGCCATGTCGGGACAATTACATTGAGCTAAGTACATCAATGACCCCACCACGCTTCTGTATGGAAGTTTGGTTTTGGCAAATTCCTGAGCTTCCTCTTCAGTAGATTTTAAAATTTTGACGTTTGGAAATAACAGAGTAACGGCTGGTTTTGAGTTTGTCATTGCATATGGCTTCTGAGACATTGAGTAAGTGTGGCCATTTATCCTATGAATTTAGATACCGACAACAGTATGTGCAAGTACTAAATCCTCCATTTCCCACTTAGCAGAAATTTTGACCTTAGACCTTGCTATATCATTTCCAGTGATATCAAGGTCATCAACATTAACCTAAACCGCAGTGAATAAGTTACCAGAACAAATGTAAATACAATGGTCAATTTCACATTGGTAGAACCCAATTTCAATGAGATCTTTGACTGACAATAAGAATAGTTAACCCGTAAGAGGTCAGTATCTTAACAAGTTCTGTTCTGAACTTTATCTACCCTGCTCTGACAGGTATGTAGTTCATTTATGTTTTCTTGTTTCATAAATCTTGTTCATTCATTATTGTGATGGAATAAATACTGATCCAAGATCTTCTCCAAACTTCTTGGGTGAAAGGTGAGTTAAACTCATATTGTGGGATTTGATATACTTCATAGATTTCTGTTCTGAACTGTATCTACCCTGCTCTGACAGATTTGTAACAATGGCGAGATTGGCTTGGTGGTGGACAGCCGCCACCAGATGGTCAGTGGCGCAGCAGCCAAAAGGCGAGATTGCCTGAATGCTGTACTGCTTTCCTATCAGCCCAATCATCCTTTGTTACCATTTTCAGAAAGCCCTGCCTGAAATTGAAGCTCTACACCAAAGCTTGTTGAGAAATTTCCATTGGGAGGGTTGCAGACCTTACCTTTTCTATTGTGGAGCGTCCTGATTTTCACAATCTCTGGAATTGTGTGATCAAAGCACTGAGGGAATGCAAGCAAAGCAACATGAAATTGTATCTTAAATGCACAAGTTTTTTGAAAAGAACACGAGAATACATTACTGAAGTGGAGTGGAAAAGAAGTGAGTATGTTTTGGACTTCACCAAACACCAAGGCAATCATGGCCGTTAAAGTACACCTGCTTTGGCAAGGAAAGTCGCATTAATAATTTAATGCAACTTCTACATCCCAGTGAGAATTTTCTCACTGTGTATGTACATGTAAAATCACACAACAGTGTATTTGTCAAAAAGGTTTGGTAGCCACATAAAAAGCAAGACCACCATGGTGATCATGAATCACAATGACCTCTTTTACCATTTGGTAAACAAGGTCATTGAGTTGATTGAGTTCAAAAACCAACAAAATTCTTGATCACCGTCAATTTGATTTAACAGTGTTCTTTTCTCAACTTCTGCTATACTTTTTTATGAAATTCAATTGATGATAACATGGTTAATATTCAAGAGCTTCAGCGTTGGAGGCGTTGACTTTACCAAAAATTCTACTTCCATCACCTAATTATAATCAGTTCTGCTAGATTCTATTACAACACATCCTTGAATCCAACAATGATGAAAATACCAAGATTATATTGATCCTTTCTGGCCAGATGTTGGTCAATGAGTTGCTAAATGGTCACAATGAGATTTTCTATGAAGATATGAGAATGAAAAAGGTGGTATTTGTTGAATTGAGAGGAATGCTTGAAGAAGCTGGATCACTTGCTGATACCAGATGGGTCACTAGTACTGAGCAACTTGCTCTTTTACTCTACTGTCTCATCACTGGACTCTTGAATACAAAGCTCAATCAACACTTTCAAAGATCTACCAATACTGTTTCAAAGGAAATCTATTTTACTTTTTCTATTGTTTCTTCCAAATGCTGATAATGATATTGGTATAGGATCATCAACAAGTTGACTATTGATATCACTACCAATACTTGATTGATACATTTTACATTGCTCTTCCTCAACAATATTGAGAAGACTGGCTACACAAAAATCCAAATAGGAAGTTTATCTAAAATGAAAATGAACAAAAGGGTTTATACTCCAAACTGGACCCTGGAAAGAGCCTGTGGAGGTCAGTGACAAAATAGGTTGGAATTGGGGTTTTTGGCAAGATTGTCAGTGAGGTAAAGGGTTGGGATCTTGACTTTGAGTAGCCAAAGTCGTTTGTGATGCAAGAGGTTGGAGCAAGGTTGGAAGAGGTCAAAAATTATTTTATGTGCATTGATTTAAAAATGTCTGAAAGAACTCTAAAACCTACTGCAATGGCAAAACACATTACTCTGAGGGAATCAATTGGATCTTGATACATATATGCATATGTTTTTGCAATTTCTTGAGTAAGAAAAAAACAAACACTTGTAACAAAACCATTTTAAACAACTCTAGATGCCAATGACATAATTTGACCCCAACCCTATGGAAAAAGAAAAGAAAAGAAATTCAAAAATCAATTCAAGAGAAAGCTAGAAAGACACAAACCCTTTGATCTTAATTCAGAAGCTACAACCCTGTTAACCTTTGTACCTAAACTTCTTTTCCATTACACAAAAGTACAGCAGCATTATTATCTACATAATCTCATCAATTTACCATTGGATGGAATGACAAGAAAACACTTTGTACAGCTCTCAAAAACTTGATTGACCAGAGAGGTGTGAATGTGAATTACAATCTGGTATAAGTAACCTCTCTGTCCTCATTGCACCTAAATCAATCAGCAGTCAATCCCTGCAAGCTCACTTGGACCAAACTATTTAAGACAAAAGCAAAGCTCATGGTAATTCTTTGGTAAAACAAAAACCAAATGGAACTCACAGAAGTCTCAAAGTGTCATGGTCTAGTGCCTTTTTGATATGTTAGGGTCTTGAGGTTAGTGATGAAAAAGGTCAGGATCCAACATTTTTCAAAAGTTGACCATGAACAGGTCAGAATTTACCTCACTAACCTGCGCAGGTGTTTTCAGGTTTTTTCCCAAACAAGCTTTTGTCTAAGGAATCTTAGAATCCTGATCAGATCACACAACAATTTTATCAGTCAAATGATCTATCAGTAGCAGTTCAATCCAGAGAGAGAATTGGGAGGATAGTTGTTGTTCATAGAAGAAGTTTTCATGATGAATGAATTCCCTTTCTATCAAACAAATAAACCCATGAAAGTAAGAAAAAGAAATTGACAGCAATGATTAGTTCATACCTGATCAGATCAAAAAAACAAGTTTATCAGTCAATTTATCTATTAGGAGCAGTTGGATCCGGAGAGAGAATTGGAATGATAGTTGTTATTTTTAGAGGAAATTTTGATGATGAATGAGAAAGAAAAATTTCCTCAGGTCAGGAAATTGCAAGACAACATTCAGCAGTACAAGTTGTGGTAAGGTTAATTAGGCAAAGGGCTGTGAGGAAAAGGCGCGGCACAAAATACTACGGTTGTAAGAAATACATAAGTAGAAATGAGAGACATGATATGAAATATAAAGAATGAAACACAGATTTAGTATTTGCTTCCAACATCTTCCATAGTCAATTGTGTTTGATTAGGCGGAAGAGCTCCATGAGCCCCTATACAGGCAAGTATTGAAAAGTGCAAGGATTGGATTGCTACACCCGACAAGCAGGGCAATATATATCACATGCGGAAGAGTGTGTAGGACTAATATCCATTACCTCCACCAAAATCATACCCATAGCCATTGTAATACTGGACTGGACTGGAAGCAAGCATGTAATCAGAAAGATGGTTAAGTTGATTCCCAGGGATCAAGAGACTTACGGCAAATCGGTGCTGGGCGTGCCGACCCCTGGTTTGACAGCCGTATCAACAGTCTGGGTGCTCGGTGTGGTAACAAAGGACTGGACGTTCGATGGTAAAACAACGGATTGGCCATTCAGTGGTAAAACAACGGATTGGGTTTTCGATGAGTCAACTGGTGTAGTTGGGCTGTTCATGTCAATTCAGCAGTCAGAAGATGCCGATCAAATTGGTGTGAACATGGGATCCTTCCTACTTTTGTAAAGGTATCCCAAATACCGTTGCTGAGAGAAAAACGAAATCGCCATGATCAGAGCAAATATTGTCAGCGCAACCCAAAGCGAATAAACATGTAAAAACCATCTTCGAGGTAGAGAAGAAATCACCTGCAAGGACTGCAAAGACAAGTCCAATGGTAAAACGCATAGTTGTTGTCACGTTTCGAATGCCCGATTGGCCGGCTTGGATGTGTTTCAATTATTTTGAAGCGTGAGGACAGAGAAGCGATTGCTCCAAACGGTCGAACTTGGAGAATCAGGGAGTACTCGTGTCATAAGTCAATAAAAATAGTCAAATTGAGGAATTTATTTCCTTTCTCGACCGACGAAGTATCGGGTCGCGAGCGACAGCGTGGAACTTTCTTCACTGCCGATTGCACAAACCTTGCCAAAGTTACAGCGCCAATTTGCTCCAGTTTTGCGGGAAAACCTGTTCAAAGTTGGATTTTCTTTTGAAATTGACAGTGAGTTTGAAAATTGCGTTCGCGGTTTGCTCGTCAACTCCTTCTCGGTGTTGAGTCGTGATCTCACGAGTCACAGCACGCCCATGAAATGTCGAATTTGCATGCGCCTCTCCAGGGGACATTCACACCCGTTGAGAAAGAAGATTTTCGCCGTCTTTGCACAAACTTTCTTCAGACAACTTTTGATGATGCTCAAGATTGTTTTTTTAACCAGACTGATTGATTGACTCATAAACGATTTGTTCGGTTACGATTTTGATGGTGCTCGAAATCATTTTGTTTGAATCCGATCAATTGGTTCATGTTTTCTTTGATTTGGACCGAGCAATTGCCTCATAAACAATCTGTCTTGGAGCCGAATGTGTTTCTGAGATGATTGTTATCAAAGTAACTAAAGCTGATATCAATGAATTTCGTTGGATGTCTTAGAGCATCCGCACTCGTGCGGTAAGTCGGGTGCGGTAAGGTTAAATTTACCGCAAACGCGGGGTCTTTTCCACACCGGTGAAAAATTAGCCCCGCGGTAGTTAATTTTCGGTCATTTTGCGTTAGCGAATCGGTAAATTTACCAATTGGCTAACGCATGCGGTATCACACATCACGACTTGTTCCCGGCAACTCGACTCCAAAAACAAAACTCAACCAGACCTCCAACACCAAAGTCAACAACCAATATCTCCTTTTCACCACTCACACACGATGAATTCCAAGCCTTACAGTTGCATGAATCAACTCGAGAACGTTCGACACCGATCGATGTCTTCAATTGAAATAAGTCAATCAACCATCTTGAACTCGACTCCAAACCATTCAGATGAAAATGAAAGATGTCTAGATTCATATAGCTATGTAGAGGTCAATATTTAAGAAAATCAACATTAAAAGACCAATCATTGGAGGACTTTTAGGATCAAGTGATACAAATTAAAAATTGAAGTTTGGATTTTTATTTCCTAGTTTTAAATTCTTTAAATCTTTTACAAGATCATTATGTGTATTCAGACTCATTAAAAGCTTTCTCGATGTAGTAAAGCCTTTGTTTTTTAATTGGAATTCATGTATTAAGATCTGAACAAACTCATGTTAAATTTGTAATTTTAAATTAAGATCTATCGATCGAGTAGATGAACAGGATGATATCGGGTCTTCATGTGTAGATGGAGTATTAGTATCTTAGTGCAAAGAAGAGAACAGTGCCTCTATCACATGAAAACTGGCCATGAAAGCAGGTGATGTGTACTCAAAAAATTAAAACTTTACCTTACTGCACAACCGGTGCGGAGTACATGCACTATCTGTAAAGTTATAAAAGTTACAGCGCTGCTAATGCAAACGAGTGCGAAATTTGGTTGAGTTAAGTAACTTTTTACTTAATGTTGTGTTTGTTACCGCACGTGACCAAATTAACAACCGCAAACGAGTGCGGATGCTCTTAAGAAAGACACGACTTAAGGCTTAGGTCCATGAACAAGGTCCAAGTACATAGTGAGGTTACGTACAGCTGTACAACTCTTCCAGAGGAAGAAAAATTTACAGTTTGAAAATTTTCCGGCCTCACACCAACGGTTCACCAGACCTTGTTAATCCTCGATACTTTCAACATTTTATATAATCAACCTCATCTCAAAAGTTTTGATACCTCCCACCCACCCAGCTGGAACGGGCCTGCGCGCCGCCAAAAAAAGGAAAGTTTTTAATCGTGGCGAAAAAGAAGGCGCGCGGACCCGGGACCGGGCTCCCCCGAACATATTCCTATCTCAGCCTAAATAAAATTAGGCCAAGGTAGGAATACCTTTTAGGTATATAAAATGAGAAGCTCACTTGAATAAGGAGCATAGAGAGTGGATAAAGTGATTGAGGATGGATTGGCCCGTTCGGCTGGAACCCGAAAACGGTTTTTGGTCAAATCAGTTTGCCAGTGCAGCTTAAAAACGAGTAGACTTTGTTAGGTTTGTCATTTCACGTTCATTGGAACAAAAACCAACAGCCTCTCTGTACAAAGAAGGCAGCCAATCTGATTACTAAAACAGCAAGATTCACTATATCATAATCTCAAGTGCCCAGATTCAGATTCGAATGTAGGTATGAAACAAGTTTTCAAGGGAGTAATATTTCGAGTGGAAATCCACGGCTCAAATCCAGAACTAGTCTTGATCCATCTCAAAGCATCTGATAAATGGTGATTGTTTGGGAGGTGTTCTATGTGCGATGTCAAGGAAAGGAAAAAAGACTTAAAAAGAGAGGACGACCGAGGTCCTATCGCAAGAATACAGGCGATGCATATTTCATCACTTTCAATTCTTCATAGCAGGCTTCTATATATCTTCACGTATTAATTGAAGACTATTCAAACCTTCGCAAGATGATCATCATGATCTTCAGCAGATGGTGTAATAAAAACTTGGCCCATAATCTGAAACTATACTAATCGTAATACATGAACTAATCTAAGTCATCTTTTTAGGAATTGGCAGTGGAGCATGGAGATAGATCGTGCATTGTGGTACGAAACGGAGTTTGAAGACAGATGACTCGGAATGCATTTGGGAAAGCCTCGCGTACAAATCATGATCGCACTCAGATACAAAAGACCAACACAGTCGCTCGTCAAGTTCGATCACTGCACAATCAGGACTTATCATTTATACTTTCGGATCCAATCTTCTCAAATCACTCGTGATCCGTAAAATGGATCTCGGAAAACGATATATTTTCTCTACTGGCTTTCTATGCGTATTGAACATCACCCTCTTGGCAGGCCTACTATCAAATGGAGCGAGAGACGTAGAAAGTTCTAGAAGACTGATAGCCCCATCAGAAACGCGTCAGTACAAGAATTACGATAGCTCTATAATGATTACACTGCTTGTTGACAAGTACATAAGACTCATCTTGATTAAAATTTACAGAGAAAGCCACGATAAGTGCGGTCGACCAGAATCTCCTACAACAAGACCATCTCAACACTTGGAGAGACTTGAGGACAATTGATGAAGTAGTAAGGCACAACAGAGTGGCTAGTGTTTATTCGCAAAGGATGCAGGAGTGGGGTCCGAAGTTATTGAAATTGAACAGTCCTTCCCAGACACTGATAACTCAAATGGATGCTTCCGCATGGGCAGAAACCAAGCCCCACAGAGCTCTGGCAATGGTCATGTATTATTTCATCGAAACCATGAAGTCACATTCACCTCAAAATGATCACAAAGAAATAGAAAGCCTTGCAGTAGGGATAGAAGATTCTTCCAAGTTCAAATACTACTACAACTCAGTCGTTGCAAGACAGATGGTCAACAAATTCATGTATGAATACATGCTCAAATTTTCTTGGTACTTGTTGATCAAACAGTATAGCAAGGGTTTCAAGGCAGATCATAAAGGGGCCCTACAATCTTCAATTGAACAAGCGATACGTGTTTGGAAAGAAAAGAACCCTCAACCACTTCAGGTTGAATATACTCGTCATTACCGACAATATATGAGGTTGATAGAAATTCTTGATCCATTAGCCGCCGCAGGCATTCAGAACAGCGATGTGATCAGAAAAGTCGATATCCGTAGTATCAGTTTGCGGAACGCAAGGACATTTCTTTCAAAGTATTCTACTGATCCTAACAAGGTTCATAAGAACTTGGTTAGCATCTCACCATCTGATACGTTTAGAGCAATCAAATTTCCGCTTTTCGGATACCCTCTTGACATCAACGGTAAGGAATCAGCTGCGATCGAAGCAACAGTTCTCGACATGTGGAAATCCCGTGGTCAAAATGATGTGAATTTCGCCTCTGAACTGATTGAAATTTCAAGAAGTCTTCCGACAGCGCGTTTTCCAAAAGGCGGAGACGTTTTTCCCCAGAGGGTGAGAGAAATGCGTGGTTTTCGTTTACTCACCACAATATACAAGCAGCACAAGTCTCCTTATTCCCAGATGTGGAACCATGTCGCAAAACTTGTCAATCTTGCAGCAAAGCTCGACAAGCCAGATTCTGAAGAACAATCGATATTATGGCAAATGATACGAGCAGCATTCCTGTCCCTTTCAAAAGATTTTGGGCAAGGCAAATGTGTTAAACAGATAGAAAACAGTATTATGTTTTATTTATTCATCAAAAGGATCGGAGAGGTCCTCGAGGCAGCCGTAGAGTTCCATTTCCCTACAACTCCACCTGAGAAAAGAGTGAGCAGATCACAGTTCATGATTTTTTTTTTTTTTTTTTGCATTGCTTTAAGTGCTTTTTCAGCCGTTAGGCTATCAAACACTGCATATATGTTCCAGCACCGGTAAAACCCCTCTGGCTGTGTCAGGGGAAAGGTAGCTGTTGGCTGTTTCAACTAAGAGTACAAGTGTAATAAAGGGAAAACATGGGTAGGGCGATGAAGTATGGAGAAAAGAGACTAGTCTTGAGGTTCTTGGGGTTCGGTGAGGTTGTTCGGCCGTGGTTCGTCTGAGATTTTCGCCCAGACCCAACGGTTGGCAAAACGCCAGGTGGCATTGCAGAAGGTGGTAGTGGCTTTGAAGGTGCTTGGTGTAGAGAGGACGCGTTTGTCCATCCTGAAAGTTTTTTGCTCGGCGAGGCCTTGTCGTTCGACGTCACGTTCAAATGCGACTCGAGCCTGTGCATGATTTTGACAGATAAAGAGGAAGTGGTCAACGGTCTCGACACCCTCTTGGCAACTGCAAGAGGGGTCAACTGGTTGTTGGAAACGGTGGAGATAGGCGTTAAGGGGAACATGTCCAGAACGTAGCTGGGTCAGGGTTGCGATTTCGTGTTTTTTGAGGTCGTCCAGTCCATCGAGATGTTTCTTCCCATTGGGTTTGTGACCTAGTCGGGTGATATCTTTCTCGCAGAAAGATTCGGTTTGCTCCTTTCGCCATTCCTTGATGGCTGCAAGGAAGGCTGCGGTATTGGGAGTATTGGTGAAGGTGCTCGGTAGATCGCGTTTCGCCAAAGAGTTTGCAATCTTGTCGACTTTCTCGTTGCCTGGGATGCCCTTATGTCCTGGGCACCATCGGATAACGACGCGCAATTGAGGATAGCTGTGGAGTATGCATTGAAGGTATTTGAAAGTTTTGTGTCTGTTGTCTAAGGAAGAGACCGATGACGAATTTGAGTGAAGGTCTTTAACCACCCCTTGATTGTCAAGGATGATTGAAGCACGGTGAGTAGCGGCTGTGGCACGATCGAGGGTCATTTGTAGGCCTAGTTGAACACCGCGGTACTCAGCTTGGTATATCCCTTGGGTTCTTGCTGGACCAAGTGCTGTCGAAGAATTTTTGCCTGAGTTAGCGCACCAAGCCGCTGCGGCTGTGTTTTTTCCTGGAATCCTCGAACCGTCCGTGTAGATGATGAGGTGCTGGCGCGATGGTTGAAGGCGAAGGGTGTCGGAAATGGCACGTTTCTCGTCTTCCTGGAGTACTGTGGAGTAATTCGGGGGTCTGATGAGTGATGATGCGGGGTCGACTGGAAGTTGGACCGCGTATTCCTCAAAATGTTTGTAAAGAGGGTGTTCGAAGAAAAGGTGGAAAGGGTTTTTGTGGCTCTTGGGGATGGAAAGCTGAGCCTGTTGGATGATCTTGAACAAAGGATGAGCATTATTCTTTGTCAGTGAGCGGGCCATAAAGCCCAGAACTTTACTCTGGAGGCGCGTCTTTGGAGGGGTGAGATAGAGGTCGTGTCGTAAGAAGACCGTTGGGGTGGACTTCATCGCGCCCAGCGCCGCTCGTGCGCAGGTGTTGTCGATGGCAGCCAGCTGTTCGGTAAAATACTTGGGCGGTTCGGTTGGCATCCAGGCCATGGCGCCGTAGTCAATCGCAGCATGGACCGTGGTAGTCATCAGGATCTTCAGGAGCCTGGGCGGTATGCCCCAGCCTTGTTTGGCTAGGCTGGCCAGGAAGCCCGCTCGTTGTTTGCCCTTGGCGAGCACATCGTGTCTGTGTTGTTTGAAGGTCAGTGATTTGTCAATTTTAATACCTAACCATTTGGCGAAGGGGGCTGGCTTGAGTCCTGTCCTATCGGCAAAGTCAATAGTGGGGCAGGTATCGAGGTTGATGTCCTGCAGAGTGAATAGGACCCAGAAGGTCTTCTTTGTGTCGAAAATGGCGCCGTGGCGTTTGGCCCATTGTTGCTGTCTGAAAGCCAAAGTCTGCATCTGAGAGCGGAGTTGATGGGTGTCGAGAGCAGAAGATAGCAGGACTACGTCGTCGACAAAGCCCAGGGCTGCGGCTGTAGGGATATTGTCAGTGATGGCTAGGAGCGAGGAATTGTACAAGAGGTAAAGTAGGGGTGAGAGTGGGGATCCCTGTGGTAAACCGTGATCCAGGGTGAAATCTTGAGATTCAAATCCATTGAAAGTAAGCGTGGTGGATCGGTCGGAGAGAAAATCGTGGATAATGTCCAGAGTCTGGGTGTTGATGCCCATTTTCTCGAGCGTGTCGAGGAGGCGTGGGTGGTGAACCGAAGGGAAGGCGGATTTGACGTCCGCGAAGAGAGCGCCAACCACCTTACCCTTCGCCCACTCACCTTTGATCCACGAGGTGAGGTGGACCAATGCCTCCTGGCTTGATCGATCAGGGCGTCCTCCGTAGTGTCCGTTGTGCAGAAGCTTGAGCTTTTCGGCCTGGGCTGATAAATGGACTGTGAGCAGTTTTTCATAGAACTTACCTAGCGTCACCAGGAGGGCGATTGGCCGATAAGAAGCTGCTTGAGTGTAGTCTGACTTCCCTGGCTTAGGGATCATGACTGTGGTGGCTCGTTTCCATCCACTAGGGATAATGCCAGTGATAGTCACACACTGAAACAGGAACCTCACGTGGGATTTTACAACGTCCCATACCATGCGCCAGACCCAATTCTGGATCTTGTCCGAGCCTGGTGCCTTGGTAGGAGGGCTGTCGTTGACCACTGCCCCTACCGATTCGTTAGTGATGAATTGGAGGAAGGGAGGTGTGATTTCTGGTGAAGGTCGATGGGAGCTCTTCAGAGGGAAGAGCAGGTGGCTGGTATCGTCCAGGTTGCACGGTGCAGTCGCCACACATGTGGACGAGAATAAGGCTTCGGCCTTTTCCTCGTTTGACGTGCACGTCCTACCGTCGGGCGTGATGATCGTGCTGACGAGAGATGACGTCTTGCGTCCGGATGCGATTCTTTTGGCTTGGAAAAGGGTTTGATGGTCGAGATCCGACAGGTACTGGCGCCAAGAGCTCTCCTTAGCGTGATCAATTGCCTTGTTAAAGGCGTTCCGTGCTGTGTTGTAGAGTGCTCGGTTTTCGGGTGTGTGGTGTTGTTTTAGGTGGCGTCGTGCTTTTGAGGTTGCCTTTCTGAGCGGCTCCAGAACGTCTGGTCGCCACCAGTGTTTATGCTTCATGTTTGTTGACTTCGCTGGCGAGTGTTTGTTCAGGGCATCAACAACTGCTGTTCGTAAAGAGTCGTCAAAAGTGTCTATGTCTTGGCGGGTTAAGAGGGTTTTGAGCTTGGGAAGAGAAGTCATGAGTTCGGTCTTTAGAAGGATGGGCTCTACTTTCCGCCAGTTCTTCTTTCCTGAGGATTTGTCGCTAGGACTCGGGGTTGTCTGGGTGGAGAAACAAGTGACCAAAGCTTGGTGGTCGGATTGATGGTTTAGGATGTCGTCGCTGTCGATGAAGCACGAAATCGTTGCTTCGTCGAAGTCCTCATTGACCCACACCAGGTCAATAGAGGTGCCAAGGGTGTCGTCACGGTGCAATCCAAAAGTGGGTTGTCCTTTTGGAGACCTCAGTGTGAGACCCCATTCCGTCATCATCTCAATGAGGCGGTCGGCGTCTCGGTCGACAATCTTGCTGTGGTCAGGATTCCAGAGAGGGGAGTGTAGGTTGGAGTCGGTGGTGCAAACCACTGGTAGGAGTTGCGTTTCGAGGTTTGCCGTCTTGAGGATGTCGGTGAACGCCGTGAATCCGTCAAGGGTCTTGTGTGGGTTGTATACACTCGCCACCAAGACCTTGAAACCGTCAATCGTGAGGACGCTGGCTGCAACGTTCCTCGACGTATGATGGATCGGATTCACTTCGGGGTATAGGTCTTGCCTCACATAAAGGCAGGCCCGAGGTCGATCAATTTCGGTGAGAGATGCTGGGGTAGGACAAATGAGTGTCCAGTTGGTTTGGTTGGTTGGGAGGTTGTCGACAGGGTTGACATACGGCTCTTGGATTGAGATAATAGAAAAAAGATTAGTAATGTCAGAATTAAAGAGAGAGAGAGTTACATATTTTGAGTGCTTGCAATTCAACTGTAGAATTGAAGCTGTGTTCTTCATTGATAGTTGTTCGCGTATCCGGTGCTCTAACATTGAGTACGGGATAAGTCGGGCTGGTCAATGATGATGATTTTTGGAGAGCCACTCGGATTGTGTGGCGGGAATTGGCTGGCAATTCGAGCTCCACACGTAGGGGCGAAAGGGTGGTGTAGAAAATCCGCATGATTTTCCTTGAACAGCCGAGGTAGGTCAGCATTCGGGTCAGCTTTGAGCTTGCCCCTGGCACAAGCCGTGCACTTCAAGGCAAGTGTGCCTTTGGCTGGGCAGGTGTGAGCGTGATGAGGGCCAGCGCATGTGGGACACATCGGTGGGATTGGACAAGCCGCCGCCGTGTGTCCTACCGCCCGGCAGTTGAAACACCTGGTGGGAGGTGGTCCACTGAGCTCTGTGCGATGTCGGCTCCTGCCCTGCCAAACCTTGGTTTTGACAGCCAGCGACGCCTGGCTCAGGGTTTTGAAACCTATGAGGAGAGAGGAGTGGCGCTTGTTCACATCCTCGCCTGCTTCTTTTTTCAGCCATCTGACAAATAAGACGTCATCGAGCAAGGTGCCATTGCACGTCTTCAAGAGGTCAATATCCTCTGGTCTCGACGGATTGAAAGTAGTGGGGACACCGTGTACTATGACAGCGTGTGTTTCCTGTTTGATCGACAGGTTTGGAGAAATCTTTGGGAGCCACTCCTGTTGTTGGTTACGGAGGGCTTGGGCGTGGCGTTGAGAGTCCACATAGACAACCAAGTCGCCAGACGGATGGCGGTGGATGTTCCTGACCTCAATAGAGGAGGAATCATCCGGCTTGAGCATGATTTTGGATGCTTTCAGCTCCAGGTTGAGAACTTTGATCAACTCCGGGATTGACTTTTCAACGCCCGCTATATTTGCGGGGTCTAATTGGTTGAGAGTGACCGTATTGTCAGAACGTGAGCGTGGGCCAGGTTTTGGTTGAGCACGATGGCTCGGTTGGATGGTTGATTTTGGAGAGGGGGTGGTGTTCGGTGCGTGCTTCGACGCTGCCGAAGCGTAAGAGGTCTTGGCTGGGGTTTTCTTCTTCCCCGATTGCTCTGGAAGGCCGTCAGCCACCAGTTTTGCAATGTGTTCTGAGAGCACATCCACTCGATCAGCGATCGTGGAGACTCTGAAGTCAAACGCCGACGTGAGAGCAGAGGTTGGGTCGGTGACAGTCTTACGACTGGTATCAAACACGGTGCGTCTAGAGTCGTTGACGCTGGCTTGTTCCTTGATCATCCCAGTCAGCAGTAGGATATCGGCTGCTGACTCGACGTCAACTTTGATGGAGCTCGTTTTCTTGGACTTCGGTACGAGAGTGACACTCGTGACTTCGACCAATCGTTGGATAAGGACTTCAAGGGACCTTGGCGTCGAGCCCCCTGGAAACAACTTCGCGATACGAGCCGAACGAGGAGTGTTCGATAGCTCGTCGGCTTCCACGAATGGACAGATCGTCGGAGTTGCCAAACGTGTTCGTTTCCGATCACGCAAGAGAGATGTGGTAGAGGCAGAAGGGCTTGGTTCTTCTGTACTCAGAGGAGGGAGGGTGGCCTTCTTGAGGACCGATGCTTGACGCGTAACGGGGGCCTTCGCCGCTGATTGAGGCAGCAGTTCGACCTCGTTGATCGCATCCATCGCGTCGTCGTAGACCGATTGATCGCAGCAAAGCTCGACAAGCCAGATTCTGAAGAACAATCGATATTATGGCAAATGATACGAGCAGCATTCCTGTCCCTTTCAAAAGATTTTGGGCAAGGCAAATGTGTTAAACAGATAGAAAACAGTATTATGTTTTATTTATTCATCAAAAGGATCGGAGAGGTCCTCGAGGCAGCCGTAGAGTTCCATTTCCCTACAACTCCACCTGAGAAAAGAGAATCCCCCCACAGTTCATGATGTACTATTGGTGTTTGATGTCTCATAAGAAACGTGGAGATCACAACAAGCTGGCAAAGACTGTCAAGTGGATGGAATTCGAAGTCGGCCGAGTTTATATGGATCATCTAATCGCTTCAAAGAAGCTGAACGAGTTTTACTCCCAGATTCAACTACCTCGTGAAGATGGGCCAAGGGGATTGCTGGTTTTGGGTCAAGAAGGAGCAATGTTACCCCGTTCGAGAATAGTGAAAGAAGTTGAAAGACGTTTGCGCGGAGGAAAAAAGGATCCTCAAAATGATCGTGCTGTATTGGCAAGGCCTAGGGGCACCAATAACGAACTGGAAACTATACAACATGCCTCGAAGAGCTCGCCTGGGGGTCAAAAATTCATTTCAGATCACAAACAATATTTAATAGACAAGCTGAACTTCGAGAAATTTTGGGGGAGATCTAGCCAAAACCCACACCTACTTAATTCATACAAAGGACCTGTAGCCAATAGTGCTTTAATCCACATGTCCTTCCAGCGCTTCGCCGAGAAGAGAAAATCAGTCACGGCTAGTTTAGAGGGATCGGAAAGAGATGTCGCAGCGGGATCCAAGAAGAAGCCGAGGACTCAATCGGTTGTGGGCTCCTCATCAGAGGGTGGTGGGAGTCACTTTCCCGCAGGATATGCTGGCCCCACAACTCTCCTTACAGATGGAACGCAAAGCACACTTTACCGCAATAATCCTATGCTCAAGGACACCCCAACGAGTCAAGAATCGAGGACAGGTGGTGAGTCGAGATCATCGATTCAGCCAATAATTGAAGCTCCTCATGATTTACACGGTGCTAGGACTGACATTTACTTGTATGTTAATTCAGGACGGCCGTCATCGATCCTACTGGTTTCGGGAGAAACATCAAAAAAAAGTGGCCAACATATTTCTCCTCTTAATTTCGAAATACCTTTGGAAAACGCCTCCGGTGACCGTGATTTTAGATTCATGCTTCCCGATTTAAACGAACCTTTGACGCCAGTTTCAAGGCAAGAAGATCACCAGAAAGACGCTGCTTCCGATTTGTCTGTACACCCATCATTTTGGCAGTACTCGGGAGGTGTTCGTCCAGTTATACCTGGGCAACAAGGTTACTCACCACTATCCACTCGCAGGGAAGAAGTACCAGATCTCAATATGTAATACGGAATTTGCAGATTGTACATGAGCAGGCATGTTTTTCATTGATCTGGGGATTCCGGAAGTATATGCTGAAATTGACAGCAGATATTTTTGGAGAATACCATGTACATATATACGGTACTCAAAGCTACATAGTTATACACTGGGCAGATGTAGTATTTTTCCCAAGTGAAAAATGATTGACCTGAAGGACAAACAAAATTGAAAAAGGTGGAATTCTGAATTCATTTTGTGTGTGCATTAACACTGCATTTTACTGCATTGATGCTGCATTTTTCCGCATTAATGGTGCATTTTTATGCATTAACACAGCATTTTTAATCATTTTGACATTAATTTTAATCATTTTGCATGGTGGAACAAAGCTACATAGTTATATAACACGTATATAGTTGTCATATATACTTTTTGATGAGAAGGATTCACTCTGAAAGAAACAATTAGACAATATTGGAAAGGTAAATTGCATTTAGTGAGCTTACCTGAAAGAAACAATTAGACAATATTGGAAAGGTGAAGAAGAGAGAAACCAATCCAGTCTAACAACAACTAACAGTATATCAATAACTAATGCTAATAATGTTATAAGAATATTGTTACAGTGAAGAGAAAGTTAGCAAACTACTATGATGTAATATCAATCAATGTCACATAGATTACATCCATAACACCCCCCCGTGCTAACAACTCAGTTAAAAAATACTCAATGATAACCTATGTTTTGTTAATAACAACCTAGATAACCCTTTTGTGAACATGTCAGCCAGCATCCTTGAAGATGAAACATGTACTAATTTAACTATTCCATCTGCCACGCATTGTCGTACAAAATGATATCTTGTATGAATATGTTTCGTTCGAGAATGATGAGATGGATTCTGCGCTAGTGCTTCTGCGCCTTCATTATCTACACACAACTTTATTACTTTATCCTTCGAAATACTCAACTCATTCAATAACGAAACCAACCAACGTGCTTCTCTACACGAGTCACTCATCGCCATATATTCAGCTTCAGTGCTTGATAAAGATGTTGTCCTTTGTTTCCGAGATCTCCACGAAACTGGTCCAACTCCCAACATAAAGACATAACCTGTTGTTGATCTTCTTTCATGACGGTCTTCAGCCCAATCCGCATCTGAATAAGCTGTCGGATTCAAATCATTTCCTCCTAAAGTTAATTTCAATTCCTTCGTCCTACATAAATAACCCAATACCCGTAACGCCGAATTCCAGTGTTGAGATGAAGGTTTCTTCAAAAATTGCGAAAGTCAATTAACTACAAATGAAATGTCTGGCCGAGTGCACTGGGCAACCCATAATAAGCCTCCTATTAAACTTGAATAAGGACATTCTGATATTTCATCATCTTCATTTGATGGAAGTAAAGTTTTGAAAGTATCGTCATTTGGTGAATTAAATAATTTGATATTAAATTTTGAGAATTGTTTTTCTAATGTTGAAATATAATGTGTCTGATCTACAGTTACTTTTTGATCTTTGACTTTTGAGATGTTAAGAGAAAGAAAATGTGATAATGGTTTGTCTGACGAAACTTCAAAGCGTTTCTTGATTAAAGTTCGAAAGTTATCAATCTCCTTATCAGTTCCCGTCACTGCTATGTCATCAACATGAGTAACTAGCATTGATTTGATATCTCCATCTTCATTCTTCTTATAATAAATGGAAGGATCATGTGATGAGCGAATATAACCAATTGACAATAAATATTCATGTAGTTTGATGTTCCATTGTCTTGGAGATTGTTTTAATCCATATAAAGATCTAAGTATTCTATATACCCAATCCGGATTTTCTTCATTGACGAAGCCTTCAGGATGCTCCATGTAGATCTCTTCATCCAGATCTCCATTTAAGAAAGCAGTTTTGATGTCCACAGCTACGCCTTTCCACTTGTTTTTCGCCATAAGAGTGAGAAATAATCTGATTGACTCTTGACGAGAAGTAGGTGAAAATACTTCTGAAAAATCTATTCCTTTGATTTGAGAAAAACCTAAAGCTACTAATCGTGCTTTCAGTTTGTATACTGACATATCAACATTTCTTTTCGTTTTGAAAATCCATTTACATCGGATGATTTTTCTTCGAGCAGGTCTAGGTACAAGTTTCCAAGTTCCTTTACCCACCAATGACTCCATCTCAGCTTCAGCCGCCAACTTCCAAAGATCCCAGTTGACGGACTTTTTAGCTTTCTTGTAAGTCGCAGGGTCCTTCTCAGATTCAATAAAAGCTGCTCGACCATATTTGCCGTAGCGTTCAGGTTGACGTCTTGACCGGATTGGTCGAGTATGAACAGCTTCTTGATTTAAATCTGTATCAGGAGAATTTGTTGGAATCGGTGTTTGATTTGATTCCAAAGAAGGCCATGGAAGTAGATTATCTTCTTTAGGCTGAAAATTATCGCTGGACGAATTTGATTTTAGACCAGGAAAAATTTTATCAAGGAACACTAAAGAAGTAGCTTTCAAAGCTTGCTTCTTTTCTGTATCCCATACTATAGCTCCTTCATTGTTGTTTAAATATGAAAGAAAAATAGCTTGACGCGCTCTAGGTTTTAGCGTCGAATTTGGTTTTATAACGTGAACCCATACTTTGCATCCAAAAGCGTGGAAAGTATGTTCTTGACGTTCACGAAGACCCATAAGTGAAGTTGGCGATTGAAACTTCTCGTTTGTTCTTGTCGGCATGTTGTTCAATGTCTCAATAGCATATTCTAATGCATCCCCCCAAAAACTATCCGGTAACAATGACTCTATCAAACAGCATCTTACTTTTTCTTTAACAGTCCTATTACATCTTTCTGCAACACCATTTAATTGTGGCGAATCAGGAGGCCCAGTGGTTTGAGTGATTCCTTTTTCGATGCAGAAATTTGTAAAGTCCTTGTTAATGTACTCCGTGCCGTTATCAGATCTCAACTCAGTTATTACACCATCAACTTTTGATGTCATCTCATTGTGAAACAATTTAAATTTACTCAAAACTTCATCTTTTGATTTCATTAAATAAATTTTTGTAAAGCGTGTAAAGTCATCAATAAAAGTTACAAAATATTTGAACCCCTTTCGAGACACAACTGAATAAGATGACACATCAGAATGAATAATACTGAGAGGTTTAGAAGATCTCCATCCTGCACGACTCGACATGTTGCGACGTCTCATTTTCCCTTGAATACAAATACTACAGGTTTGTAGCTTCCTCAAATCACTTTCATCAACCTTAATATTTAGCGTTGATAATTTCTTTTCGAGAGATGCATATCCAGGATGATTAAATCTAAGATGCCATAAATTCACATCAGCAACTGAAGCTCTAGACGTTTTATCCGGAGATGTTGATTGACGTACCTTTTGATCGAGGTAGTAGAGATTTCCTTGACGTTTTCCGGTTCCGATGATATCTCCTGAAAATTGAGAGTTTTTGATGAAAGATACTTTTTCGGAGTCAAAAACGGATACTATGTTTTTATCGGCTAACTTAGAAATTGAGAGAAGTGGTTCAGACAAAGATGGGACATAGAGAGATTTGATGTCGTTGAAATCAGAAAAAGGTAATGAGATTAATCCTTTTGAGACAGCTTTAACATTCGAACCATTTGCTAGACTGATCATCATGTCATCTGGTTTCTTGTTTATTAAAGCGTCAGAATAAGGAGTCATGATTTGGGAAGTTCCTGAATCGACTAGCCAACCATCTGCTTTACCAACAGAAGCCTTGATAACTGCAGCAGCCGATATTTCTGAATTCATATCGATCGATACATCTGATTCAGATGAAATGAGTGATGCTGAAGCCGCTTTCGCTTTTGCTGCTTTAGCTCGGCGAACTTGATTTTTAGTCGGTTTACTTTTAGAGACTTCCGAAGTGGCCTTCTCAGATTTTAAAACCTCATATTTATCAAGCTTGGATTTCAGAATTCTACAATCATCAATCAAATGGCCTGCCTTGCTGCAATGAGTGCAAGATATTTCCTTCTGCTTAGTGTTTTTAGCAGATGAAATAGTTTCAGGATCCTCTGAAGAGATCGAACGGCGAGTTGCTTCCTCTCGAAGAACCTTCAAAACAGTAGTCAATGTTACCGAATCACGTTGCAAGAGTGGAGCAAGTATAGGTTGCCAGTCCGATGTGAGAGACAAGCTGACTGCAGTTGCAAATACTGAATCGGCAGTAAGAGGTCGTTGTGGAGTTACTAACGCCTTAAACCGTTGATAATCCGCCGACATCGAATCGAGATGAGCAGTAATCGATTGATCACCCATTTTCGCGGTGATCAATTTCTTCAACCAGAACATAATCGATCCCGCCGATGCCTCTTGATGCGCTTCACGCAGTGCATTCCATTGGCTCTTGGGATCATCTTCGAAAGGTGAAAGATACTCATAGTTCGAGGAATCAACGTATCGAAGTATCAACGCTGATACCTTGCATCGATCATGCTCATCAGTTGATGGCAATGGATCAGGTTGGTTCTCCCTTATGACATATCCATAGGGAGATCCTCTAATAATCGTGCCCATTACGAACTGCCATTGGTGGTAGTTTGATAATGGTCCAGGAGCTTCGAGTGGTTTCACCCCAGTAGCGTCGAGTTTTTCGTGAGAATACGAAAGAGTAGTCGGTTTTGATTCCCAAGTAAGTGATTCACGAGTGTGTGATTCACTACGAGGATTCTTGATACGAGCAGTTGTCAAAGTCGGATTTGCCATTTTGGATTTTCCGAGAAGATAGTTAGTGTTTGAACAAGGAAGGTTTATGAATACTTCAATGTATGACGTTTTAAGCTTTCGGAGTTTATTCGATTGCTATATGTAGTTTATCGTCTTTGTACAGACGGCCCTTTCCGTAGGCTTTCAAAACCGATTTGAATCGAAACGGTTTTCAGAGGTGAACTTCTTATAGTTTTAACCGAGATGGGCTCATAACCTGATGAGAAGGATTCACTCTGAAAGAAACAATTAGACAATATTGGAAAGGTAAATTGCATTTAGTGAGCTTACCTGAAAGAAACAATTAGACAATATTGGAAAGGTGAAGAAGAGAGAAACCAATCCAGTCTAACAACAACTAACAGTATATCAATAACTAATGCTAATAATGTTATAAGAATATTGTTACAGTGAAGAGAAAGTTAGCAAACTACTATGATGTAATATCAATCAATGTCACATAGATTACATCCATAACACTTTTTTTTGGTGGGGAAAATAAAACAAATATACTTTTGGACTTGTTTTCCCCGCCAAAAAAAACTATGTAGCAAAAAGTATGTACGCGTACATACTTGTACATACTTGCTTTGAGTACCGTATATTTGATCAATTTGAGAATTTTTTTGCCATTCATCTCCTCACAATTTAGAACTTCAGAACATCAAACCTCCATATACAACCAGCAATTACATATAGAAATACTGTCCATAGAGGAACACTGCATTGGATAAAAATCTGGAGAAGCATACAGTTGTTATCACCAAAGCCCTCTGACTGGCTCCCTGCAAGAACAATTGGGGCAGTTGACCGGGTACTTTGGTATTTTTTATGCCATGATATTTCTTGAAAAGCCCATTTTTGGACTGTTCAGGTGTAGAGGAACCAAGAAATGGTACTCATGAACCTGTACAGCCACTTTTGCAAAAAGAAATTGATCTAAGACCCCAACCAGTTGGACCGCGGGCTGATTTGAGCCTGATGCAAGCCCAATACAGGCAGATTTCATGGCTTTACATCACTAGCTATGTACTTAACATCATAGTTAAGTCAGATTTATAGCATAAAAACCCACAACAAATACAAAAGTTTGGTCAAAATTGGTGAAAACCCCCAAATTTGTGATCGTGTTGGTGAAAGTAGGTGTTATTGGCACCCCCCGACCAGTCAGACCAGGGCCGGCCCCGGCCAAACCAGTCAGAGAGCTTTGGTGATAACAACTGTAATGGCTTTTGCAAGCGGAGTCTTGCGCCAAGTCCATGAATGGCTCCACGCTTACGGAATGAACACCTCGAGGAACAGCACCCTACAAGCGATGGAGAATCTTTGCCTGTTGCAAGAGCAGCGCTTTATGGCAGTGTTCAAAGTAAAACACCAGTTATCACCTCTGTTATGTTCTGACAATATAGACATCCATTTAAGAATCCACAATACTCAAGTCAAGACTTTGTCTTGACTTGTCCACGGCACCTGGGGTTTTTATATAGTCATTTGCGCATGCCTACAGGCCAAGTGCACTGCAGAAGCTGTTAGCCTGGCAAGTTTTTTGGATGCAATGGCCGCTGCTGACCAGAGAGCCGTTGAGCTGTCATCTTTTGTACCTACTCCGTCAGAAGTGGACCACATTTGTTCAGTGATCCGCGCGCAAATAGTGAAGGCCATAAAAGAATACTCAACACACTTACCTGGATTGTATGAGGCCAACAAGCTTCCCTCCCTCCCTACCAAGCCCCCCCCATTGATCCAATAGAGATGCATAAACCAAATATTCAATTTCTCCACATGATGGACGCTCCAGACAATTCCGTGGAAGGTGTTTCACGAGTTCTTGAACAGGTCATGGGGCAAATTGGTGTGGATCTTGAGAAGTACGCTGAGAAACTGTCAGTCGCTGGTGGCAACATAGGTTCTAATCAACTCATCGAGAGCCTACAAGTTAAAACGTTTCCCCGGGTGGATTCTTTCAAGGGTCTTGGGTTCGTTCTGTTGATTTTTGGCGGAGCTCACACTACATGGAAATTTACCAAAGCACTTCTGGCGCTTCATTGGGGTAATTTGGAAAATGGCGAAGACTTGGGCGCATGGAGATCGTGGTTTGCCTTGGGAGGTGATCACAAGAAACCGGTTGCATCACAGGATTTCAATACCATTATGCGCTCAATGCATATGATCCATAAAGCGAACCTGGTATACATTGTTTTGTCAGTCCGTCTTGTACCACCGCCCATAGAAACTGATCTTTGGACTGACATGTATAACTCGGTGAACAGGGAGGTCATGAGCACTAATAGCAATCTAGATCTGAGAAAAGAACATGATTGCAGTCAGCTGTTGGACCTCTTCTGGGACCAATACTTTGATGCTTGCGCTTTGGAAGAGGCCCAAGAGAGAAGTGACTCTACTCACTACAACCTTTTGCTACGCCTACGCAATTTTGCCACAGTTGTTGAAGCCCATGAAGCGACCCGCGCAGGGGATATCAGGCGAGTCATGGCAATGTGGAAGCTTTGGGCAGTCATGGCCCAAGGCCTTCAAGGGCTTTCACATTATGTGAGACATATCCCATGAATAGTTTTGCTTTTGCAAGAGTACTTACCGGAGAGCCTTTCCCATGCGATAAAGCATACCATACTTATACCTTCAAACAAGCGCAATAATAACTTCATGCTGATTGACGAGTATCTGGAGGTACATATCAACTACCTCAAAGACCATTATAACAATACGGTGAGCCAGCTTATGTGCAAAGCAAGCCCAACGTGTCCTCGTGCTTCACACAATCTCTCAGCGGTCATTGACCACCTCCATTCAAAATGCGCCAGGGTCACGGGACGGATCTCAAGCGCCTCACAGATTGGTTATCAACCAACATATATTTGGTGAGCAGGCATTCAGAAATGGTGCATTGCAATGCGAGACGTGTCTAATCCAGATTTACACCTACGTAGATGCTAAAACTAATGCAGCTGATCAAGGCGGATTCAGGTCACAAGATTGTATTTCAGGGGAATCTGTACACCATCACCCCCACCACGATGAAAGCATTCCTAACTTACGCCAAAGCACATTTCGGACCCAAAGTGGGAAGGCGCTCGCCAGGACCAGTCACCAATGTGTGGCATGCTGGGGTGCGCACCATTATTAAATTGATTTGGGCTGATACAGCCACAAGTCAATCCTCCCGGTTTTGTTGGGGGTCCAGGAATGTGTTATTGTTGTGGAACAATGAGGTGGAGGTGAACGCAGAGGAGGTATAAGCCCCTGGATGCGGATGATGCATTATAGATGTTAGAATGACATGTACATAGGGGTAACCACCTGACAGTCAACAGCTTATCTCACCTGGTTATCTCCCCTGGCCCTCTTAGGCAGACTGCCTCGGCCTTTGGCTGTGCCTCGTTTAGGACTGTCACCCAAAATAGATTCTTCACCACAATCCATAAGATCATGTGTTTGACTGTTTGTGAATCCAGAAGAGCCTGCTTGTCCTTGGGGCCTAGCTGCTGTGGCCACCTGTTTAACCTTTGCAGCTTGCTTGCGCTCCAAGACATGTGCGCCTTTGGCTTGTGCCTTTGCTTCTTCAGCCAGCTCCTTCTCCAAGGCGTGGGCTTGTTTGAGGGACGCCTTCGCAGCATCAGATTTCACCTTTTCCAGAGCCCGTGACTGTTTGAGGGTGACCTTAGCTGCTTCCGCTTGTGCTTTTGTGATCAGATTGCCCTCAGTGGATTGAGGAATCTTTGCTAGGCATTTCATACGGTTCACAGATTGCCCTCAATGGATTGAGGAATCTTTGCTAGGCACTTCATACGGTTCACAGCTTGCCTTCCGTCTGACGCTTGAGTTTTGATGGTTTCAGTTTGAAAATCGAGCTTCCATTGGGTGAACGCCCAGAACAAGGCCTCAAATTGACCCGGAATGGCCTTGCTGGCTAGAACCATGGCAAGGTCCGTAGGTTTTGTGAGAATGTTGACATTTTTAGCTAGATCCCATGCAACATTGCGGCCAAATAAGTTGGATGGTGCAAGGTATGATGAGGTTGGGTATCTAATACTAACACTACACCAAACACAGGGTCCAAATTTTATACTCACGACACATTAGCAAAGGAATCATACATGTTTGGTATCAAGATAGGTATTACTCATACTGATTATTTGTAGATTGACTTCGCTCAACACCAACCAGGTGTAAAGAGTGTGTTCCAAAGCTGCACAAAGTGTAGCCTGGCACCAAACATACAACAATCTTGACACAATCTTGGAAAAAGCTTTGCTAACACGTCGTGAGTGCAAAATTTGGACCCTGTGAAATGTCATCTTTACCGGGCGGTAAAGAAAACTACTGACATAGAAAAGTCCTGAGGCAACAGGAAGAGAGCTAAAAATCTGAAAAAATATGCACCTTGTTCCTAGATGTTGGGGCGTCATGATGAGTATTTTTTTGTATTTTACACGCAGAAATTGGTTTATGTACTAACAATAAATGCTGAAAATCAACAAAAACTCACATGTAACAATACCTGAAATTTGGGTCATGAGTATGAAGACAATATTTTGTGGTCTAAAAACTTCAATAACTTTTGCAATTCTGCTCCAAATAACTCGATTTGTGTTCTTTCAAAAGCTGCCTATTCTCCTTCACACTTCATAATGT